TATACTATTGGTTAATCTTTTTCAAACCAATCAATAGAATCGTTCTATATTACGCTTTTTGTTTATTTATATTTTTTTTTATTTCAGTGTCAAATCTATATAAATTATTAGTATTTTAGATAGTGATAATCATTCTTTACACGAAAATTATCTTATAACATCACCTATGATCACCTTGTACTGTCATTCATTTTAGTTATTCGAAGGTCGTTTTCTTTTGTCAAGGTCTTTTTCTTACCATTGTCGATCTTATTCATATATATATATACATATACATATATATTTATATACATATGTATTCAACTGTCCTTGACAATTAATTTTTTTTAATTTTAGATCGTTTTTTATGATCTTATAGAACGTATCAATCATTGATACAAATTATGATTGAAAACAATCTTTTGTTTGATCTTCAAAAGTTATCTAGATATAATATGTAAGTAAAATTAGTTGTTTTGTTATAACAAGTGAATAAGTTCATAGTTTATTCTATATAGATAATCAATATTATTTATATGCAATGCAATTGTTGATAAAATGAGTGAATATGAAATATTACGAAAAAATTATTTACGATCAAATTCTACAAGGAAAACTTATTCACCAGATTCAAATAATGAATTTGAAGAACTTATTGATGATAGAAATCCTTCCATGATGATTGATAATAATGTTATAATGAAAACACCTCAATCTCTTGATGATCTTCTTGATGTTGATGATAATAACAATCAAAATGAGGAAGATAAAGAAGAGAATGAAAATAATAATAATAATGACGATGACGACGATGACGATGATGATGATGATGATGACAATGATTCAACGCATTTAAGCGTTGATGATCCAAATACAACAGAACAAACAAAACAAAAGAAATCTATCGAGAAAAATGGTAAGATTTAACAGCTCGTTAAGTAATGAGTATGTGCGATTATGTAAACTATATGAATGGAGATCATCTTTACGATGCTCAATGCCAACACATACTTATTATTGTCTGTTCTTCTGTATCTCTAAACATGTGGGTGTGTTAGATAAGTTTTGTATCGATTAATCTCTTCTCTCTCTCTCTCGTTGACCAACGAATGTAGAATGTCTGTCTCGTATATTTCACTTAACTATTTTATTGAGTATGTCTGACCACATAGCAATAATGCCCTTCATATATAAGGTTATGGACATTACGAACGAACAATCGTCTAGTCACTATACGATATAGTGCCTGACCGATCACATTTACATCAATTTTTTTGTCTTTCTATCGCATTGACGACAGACTATGTTGCCTAGTTGATGGTCAGCTAGACGATGAGAAAGGACAAAATGAGTGACCTAGATATATATGTATATGCATATATATGCATTTGATCATTGTCATTATAAAAGAACTAAAAAGAAAAACTTGTGCATGATGCATATAATATAGCACCACAATATCAATCTTGATCATTTATTGATTGTAAAGAGAATCAATTCAGTTTCTTTTTGTACATAATCTATATGTATATGAAAAAAGAAAAAGAGCGAGAAATAGGGAGAGACAGAGAGAGAGAAGAAGAAAAAAGAAATAAATAATGTAAAACGTTGATTTGTTCAGAAGCAAATAGTAGCAGAAGGCAAGGAATCGATGCAACTATCACATCATTGCACATATATGTATATATACATATACCGGCAAAAAGAGAAAATAGCTCTCTTTCTTTCTTCTGAGCGAGCTATAATTGCTTTTTTGACGGTGACGTTGACGCAAAGTGCGCGCTCTTACTAGCTTGCATATGTGCAAGCAGCTCATCTTTTTCTTCTTTTCGACGACGTCGTTGTTTTATGGTGAACATATACGTGTACATACATAAAGAAAGGGATAGAATGTAAAAGAAAAAAAAAAAGAAAGAAATAAAATAAGGCGGCGAAACAATGGTTGTAGTTGGGCGCATTGCGTTCTTTCGCTCTTTTTCTCTCATATGCACTGCTGTAACTGCTGCAATATGTACATGGTCATCGGTTCATGGGCGTCATTGCGCGCGCACACACACACACATACACGCAAAAAAAAGAAAGAAAGAAGTAGAAAAGAGAAAAAAGAGAGAAAAAGATGGTTGATAGTGGCGCGGCGGCGATGGTGTAAAGA